GTGTGTGTGTGTGTGTGTGTGTGTGTGTGTGTGTGTGTGTGTGTGTGTGTGTGTGTGTGTGTGTGTGTGTGTGTGTGTGTGTGTGTGTGTGTGTGTGTGTGTGTGTGTGTGTGTGTGTGTGTGTGTGTGTGTGTGTGCGTGCGTGCGTGCGTGCGTGTGTGTGCGCGCGCGTGCGTGTATGATTGTGCGTATGTGCAGTCTGTTCGTGTGCGTGTGTATACACGTAGTGCAGTCGCGACAGCGCTGGTTAAGTGATGTCTAGAAACGATGAGCGTTACTTTATATAGTTGTGTAAGCATGGAGTTGCCTCGTCTTGACGACTCTCTATTTCTCTACTGGACATTGCTATTATCTTCCCAAGCTCGGCCATCCTCGCCATGTTGCTCACGTTTACGCCGCACCTTTTGTTAAGAGTAATCGAATATAATCGAGTATCAAATATAATATAATCGAGTATTAATATAAACGAGCATCAAATATAATCACACACGTGAACAAGAACTCACCCGTGGCGTTGGTGACGAAACGTTCCATGAGGCCTGGTCCGAACCCGGCCGATGTGGAGGCACTGATATCGACGCGGTAGGTGGTGGCCGGGTGCAGCGCCGTAGCGTTGTAACCGAGCTGTCCCATGTAGGTCATCGATGCGTTGACACGCACAGTCCACGGTGGACGCTGCCTGTCAACATCGCTGAACGACTCGACGACAGAGATGTCTAGCTGCGTGATAACGTATAACTATATGGGTCAACAACCACACAGACCATTCATGTAACCATCCAGTCATCCGGTCTGCCATCTATCCATCCATCCATCCAAACATCCATCCATTCGTCCATCCATCCAACCATCCGTCCGTCCGTCCGTTCGTCCGTATGTCCTTCCATTTATCCATTCATCCATCTATCCGTCCGTCCGTCCGTCCGTCCGTCCATCCATCCATCCATCCATCCATCCATCCATCCATCCATCCATCCATCCATCCATCCATCCATCCATCCATCCATCCATCCATCCATCCATCCATCCATCCATCCATCCATCCACGCAACCATCCGGGCTACACCACCTCGCAGTGCGTGGCATTGACAGGTAAATGGGAAATCTCACCTTGTACTGCAGGATGTGACCGTTTGGGTGCAAAGGTGGCTCCCATGCGAGGCTCAACATGTGGGGGCCCCTAGCAAGCAACGACAGCTCTACTGGCGCGCTGGGCTCTGGAAATTAAGGTGGCGCCGATCCGTATATCACAGACATGAAGAACGTGGAAGTGGGTATGTGTGTGTGTGTGTGTGTGTGTGTGCGCGCGCGCGTGCGTGCGTGCGTGCGTGTGTGTGTGTGTGCGTGAGTAAGTACGTGCGTGCATGCGTGCGTGCGTGCGTGCTTTCGTGTGTGTTGATGCGCTTTGCAAGTGAAAGGCTAGAGGCCGTTGTCAGAATTTCAATAACAAAAATGTTCTCGTAGACCGGACCTCTATACACTGCGTACGAGAAACTAGTAACTTTACCATGTTTCTGTCAAAGGTCTAGGAGAAAAAGTAAAAGAGAAAAAACACTAATGTCAAGACTAATCTTGTTTCTGACAATGGGATCCAGGTCATTATGCTGTCCGCTAGCGAACGCTATACAGTGCTGTCCCGTACCCAAGGGGGGTTCCAGGGGTTCCGGAACCACTAAGCATAAAAAATAAATACAGTCGACCTCGCCTAAGTCGAATCCAACGGAACTGAATTAAACTGTTAAAATGCACCAGAATGCACCATTTTAAAGCAAATTTTCAAAGTTTTCTCGAGGGTCATGCCCCGGACCCCCTAACATTGCTCCGCGGCTTCGGCGCTCGCAGTCACCCGCACACCTCTGATTTGGAACCCCTCTTAGGCCAATCCTGGGTACAGGCCTGGCTGTTGCGACAAACACGCCATAGTAAGATGGCGTACCTGACACTGCAGTCCTCGCCCACACAGGTCGACTCCAGCTACTATATCTAGATGGTTTCAGGTTCCGTGCTTGAATCTAAAATGATTAGCAATAGATGCCGTAAATACTTGTAATATACAGTGATACTGCCTGCTGCAAAATAATATTGTTATTATAATAGTATTGTTGTGATTATGTTATTATAATAATTATTATAATAATAATAATAATATTATTATTATTATTATAGTTATTTATTCCATATTATTGGTTATTTATTTATTTTTTTATTCATTTATCTATCTATTTATTTACTTATTTATTTTATTCGTTATTTACGTATATGCGGATGTCGCGCAATTACGGATGTACATTTTCCACGCATAACTTCCTGTATACCTCTATGCTGTAGTTGTTATTTGCCTGTAGATCGCTGATATTGTACACGCACACGCCGTCAGCGCACGTGTCGTTACGAGGCAGTTCGTCAGGGTAGCTCTGCGCACGATTCCCTGTTCCGTAGCGCACCCGGTACGCCCAGCGTTCGCCGTGAGGTGGGTACGCCTCATCCCACTTTACCGTGATGGCGGTTGGGGACGGATACGCTCGCACTCCGTCGACGTCTGTCGTCGGGGGCGCTGCAAACACAGGCAGGAAATTGCGTCCGGCAATTGCACACAATTAAAAATAATTTATCCTCGGTTAAATTATTTCTACCACGGTAAAAAATAATTTTTCCGCGGTTAAATTATGTGTAACAAGGCCTCTGATTGGGTATAAATTTTAACCGCGCTAAAAATAATTATTTGTACGTACGATAACCAACCATGTGGTGTTCAACTGTGTCACACACCCACTGTAGGGAGCGTAGTGTGAGGCTACACGCGTGTTTCACATACCGGCAGGGGGCGTGGTGAAGCTGTGATTGGCGGCGGGTCCTTCTCCCGCTGCGTTGACGCCGCGCACGCTGAGCACGTAGCGTGTGTACGGCACCAGCATGTTCAGCTCGTGGCTCTGCAGGTACAGCCTGCTGTCAGCCGACACCGGACTAAGAGTCCCCGTCACCTCGTCCCCCCACGGATCGGGCGACGTGAGGCGCCACCTGTAGGCGGTTATCGCGCCGTGGCGTCGTTCACAGGGTATCGGGTCCCAGTAGGCGTAGGTGTAGCGGAGGATGAAGGTGATGTCGGTGGGCGCGTCCGTCGGTGCTGCGGCAAAATCACTGACGCTATTAGACGTCATGCACCCTGACATTGTCACACGACAGAAACTGAGAGACACCAGACATTGTCACACGATAGAAACTGAGAGACACCAGACATTGTCACACGATGGAAACTGAGAGACACCAGACATTGTCACACGACAGAAACCGAGAGACACCAGACATTGTCACACGACAGAAACTGAGAGACACCAGACATTGTCATACGACAGAAACTGAGAGACACCAAACATTGTCATACGACAGAAACCGAGAGATACCAGACATTGTCATACGACAGAAACCGAGAGATACCAGACATTGTCACACGACAGAAACCGAGAGATACCAGACATTGTCCATCAACATCACACCCCTCTACACCTACCTCCGCAGTCTGTCCATCAACATCACTCCCCTCTACACCTACCTCCGCAGGCAAAGTATAAACATCACACCCTTCTACACCTACCTCCACAGGCAAAGTATAAACATCACACCCTTCTACACCTACCTCCACAGGTAGTCCTTAGTATCACACTTTCGCTCGGCTGCCCGGTCGAGGGTACTCCGTCCTGGGTAACTTCCGCCGTCACCCTCACCTCGTAGCTCGTGTCCGTACGCAGTGATGCGATCACCACAGATCGTGCTAGACGGGAAATTAAAGGGCTAAGTACAACGACAGCTTGAACGTGTATGAATGTCAGGACTACGCGCCACCCATCTGTAAATGCACACACTACACGCCATACATCTGAGAAGGTGCACACCACACGCCACTTCGATGAAACAGCACACACTGCACGCCACCTATCTGTGAAGGCACACACTACATGCCCCCTCAGCTGTGAAAGCACACATTGCGCGCCACCTGTCTGCGAGGGTACACACTGTACGCCACCTATATCTACTCGTGACAGCACGCATTGTACGCGCGCCTACCTAGTATGACAGCACACACACTACAGGCGACGTACCTGGGCCGTGAACGAGAACACTGGTCCATTCCGAAACATCAGAGCACATTTCCTGGCTCGCGCATGTCTCCACTCTGTACGTGACGCTCAGGGCGCCCACTCCAACGTCGTCCCACGTGATCACCGCCTGTGTCGTGGAGACGTCGGCGACAGTCACGTTCGTCGGAATCGGGACAACTGCGAGGGATAGCAATGGAATTACGCTACGATAGATGGCGCCAGTGTCCGGTGAGTATTAGAGTCCCTTTATATAGATCCCTCTATATTAAGGGACTCTAGCGAGTATCAGACGCCATTTATGTAGATGAGAATCACTCTCTATAATACACGGACTGTAGTGGGACGTAGGCTCGCGTACGCGCCACTCCTCGATTGACGCTCGTTTATCCTGGCATGAGTCATGTTCGGTTGTTTATCGATTTTAACCTACGTTTGCGAATTCTTATCGATATTCTACAAGTGTAGCTAGGTTTAAATTGGCTTACAATGCACGATACACGATACAAGGAAAAGAGACACAAAAACAGGAGAGCAATAAAATAAGAAATGAGGTCATGGAACTGTTACGACCGCAAGACTGACCGTTGCAAGTGCTTCCAGAAGCGTCCAAGTATGTTCCATCTAGGCGAAATATAAAAAAAAGTCCATGACCGCCGGTTAAGCATCTGTAGCTACATACATGAAATAATGTTTCTCATTGCCAATGAATACACGAATCAATGAGTCTCTAATCTCTCATCTCGCTCATTCTCGCTTGCTAAATATCCCGCTTATTGACTTTCCCGCGCGCTCTCTCTCGCTTTCTCTTTCTTTCCCCTCCCCCTCTCTCTCGTCCCCCTCTGCCTTACCCCCTCGCTCTTTCGCTCGCTCTCTCTCTCTCTCTCTCTCTCTCTCTCTCTCTCTCTCTCTCTCTCTCTCTCTCTCTCTCTCTCTCTCTCTCTCTCTCTCTCTCTCTCTCTCTCTCTCTCTCTCTCTCTCTCTCTCTCTCTCTCTCTGTGTGTGTGTGTGTGTGTGTGTGTGTGTGTGTGTGTGTGCGTGCGTGCGCGCGCGTGCGTGCGTGCGTGCGTGCGTGTGTGTGTGCGTGTGTGTGTGTCTTTGGCTCTCCCTCTTTCACCCTCTAGCTATCTGTTTATCGCGCGCACAACCTATCACGAGCTCTTTGTTACCTGCACATGACGTCGTGCGGAACTCGGCTTTCATCGATACGTTAGAGCTGTAGAGGGCGTCGGCCTGCGCGACAACAACCTGCGCGCGCAGCGCGTATCTAGTCCGTGGCTGGAGTCCGTCGATGCTCAGCCTCCCATTCGCCAGGTCCGTCACTCTCGCCTCGTCGACCGTCGTCCATCGCTGGTCGGCCGCCGCCCGCAGCTGCCAGCGGTACGAGCGCTGTGTCAGCGGACCCTGCAGGGCGTGCGTGAATGTCGGCCGGTTGACGAGTATGCGCGTCGCGGTGGGGTCGACGACCGTCGGTCGGCTGACGTCCGGTAGTTCTGCAGCACGACGCGAGATGGCGTTGGCGTGGGGGGCGAGGGGCGTGGAGACGTTATGAAAGGTTGGTGTGTTGGCGGATGTACGTTATGTAAGGTTAGTTTATTGGACGACGGACGTTATCTAAAAGGTTAGTGTGTTAAAGGACGCACGTTATGTAAAGCCTGGGACACACCATGCGAACTTATTCTCACGTCCGCGCGATCATATCCGCAGCGAAAATCGTGGCGAAAATATTCGCACCCGCATGCGATAATTGAGCGGACACACGATGCGAATTTATTCGCACGTCCGCAGCGTACACACTACACGCGATCTACTGGCACCACACGGCTCAACCATGGCTCCAACAGTCAGGTGGTCACGTGATTAGCATACTGATCAATGATTCGCTGCATTACAACAATCGGCCTTTATTCGCACTAGACTGTTATCCGTCCCTTCTCACAAGCTCGATATAGGCATATATCGAGCTTGTGAGAAGGGACGGGTACCAGTCTATATTCACACGTCCGCACGTCCGCAGCAAAAATATCAAACATGTTTGATCGCTGCGAAGTTCGGTGCGGATGAAGTTCGCAGCGAAATTCGTCCGCGCTTAAGCGGGCACATCATGCGAATTTCGCTGCGATTTTACAATCGCTGCGGACGTGCGAATAAATTCGCATGATGTGTCCCCCGCTTAAGGTTAATGTATTGGCGGAAGTACGTTATAAAAGGTTAGTGTATTGTAGGACGTACGTACGTTATGAAAGGTTAGTGTACATATTGGCGGACGTACGTTATGAAAGGTTAGTGTATTGGCGGACGTACGTTATGAAATGTTAGTGTAGTTGGCGGGACGTAATGTGGAGTTGATATATTAAGCGTGTGCGTTATGCAAAGTTAAATGTGTTGAGGAGCTCCGCGTCCTCCCCATCTCTGCCACCCACCAGCTTACCTATGCTGCAGGCAGCTGTGGCAAATCCATCCCTGCAACCTCTGGGACAAGAGATGTCACCTTGGAGGTTCACCTGACAGTCTTCTGTCTCGTTGAGACAGTGGCAGCGGCTTTCACAGGTGGGCCCAAAATGGTTTGCTGCCGTGAAAACATAATTATCGTATATGAAAACATATATCATATATACATTTTTTCTCGCGCATAAGATATCATCGCGTCTGGAAGAAGTTAATATGCGGCCAGTGCTTGTATTGGCGCCACTCACCGGCAGGTGGCGTTGTCACGCTACGCTTGTCGCTCCAGTCTCCGACAGAATCCCGATTCGTCGCACGTACTCTGGCCTGCCACTTCGTAAATGGCGCGCTGTCGATCTGCCAGTACTTCGACCTCGACCTCGGCAGCAGTACTGGGGAGAGGTGGCCCGGCGAGGCCGTGTACTCGACCTCGTAGCTATTATTCGTCATGCAATTCCACTCTGCGGGCGCCTGGGAAAAGTTGGGGCGTGTTCGCCGTGGTTACGGTTACCGAGAGCTGTCGTTCGTATTCGTTTTGAGTTTGTGCGTATATTGGAAGTGTAGTGTGTTACGAGGTGAGATATACGCGGGTGGGACGTAAAGGTGGGATGGGGTGGTGTGAGGGTGAGGGTGGGGTGAGGGGTGAGGGTGGGGTAGGTAGGTTAGGGTGGGGTGGAAGGGGTGAAGAGGGATGATGGTGGGGTGAGGGTGAGGGTGGATGGTGTGGGGTGAGGGTGGGGTAGGGTGTTGTAGTATAGAACGCTGTGGCGGGCTGAGAAGTGATGCTGGTGGGTTGTCCTATATGGGCAAGTTGATAATGGGTGTCCAGGAGGCGATTGCATGAATTGTGCAGGTCACCAACACTAAGACTAGCAACTTTTTTTGACAGTGTTCGGTTCGTATGGCTATACCTCCCAGGTGGCCGTCACTCTTGTCGCTCCTGCGTCATCTATATTCAGCTCGAAATTCTCAACCCGGCCAGGCACTGAAATAAATAGACCAATATGCTACTGTACATTCAATTCATCTGTATCACAATTAATACCGACTGGTCGTAATCTGCTGACCAGCGACATAGTGGGGTTTACATGGCATAGCTGGTGAGTGATTAATCTACTCGCTACGCAACACGATCACATAGAGGCGCAACATCACCCCCCTCTACACCTACCTTCGCAGGCTGTCCATCAACATCACACCCCTCTACACCTACCTCCGCATGCAGGCTGTCCATCAACATCACGCCCCTCTACACCTACCTCCGCAGGCTCTCCGGCATCGTAGCAGCGTCGAGTTAGCAAATGGTAGCAGATTGTAGCAAAGAGTAAAGATGATGTAGTCGCAGAATTTGCTCTTGAAGACTGACTTTATTAGTAAACACGATACAAATATGTATACACTATGGCGACCTAGGCACCCAAGCCTAGGCCCCGTGTCTCGTCTTCGTCTATCTCCACTATATCGTCTCTCGTCTCTTCCTCTGGGTAATAACCTCCTATATGGTCTTTCGTCCGTGCCTATTTATACGTTTCCGAAAACCGCCCGGCGACATTTGAATCCGACCGGCTTTTCGTCATTATCGGCCGGACCCTGGCTCGTAGGTGTGGCGTGTCGCGTCACCCATCCCCGGCGCAAGGTGTGACGTGCCAAGCGTCGCATTCTGTCGCCACCGTTTGCTGAATACAATAATTCTCTTGACCCCTCTTGAAAAGTTCATGTCCTCATGAAAACGTATTTCCAATTAAAAACTATATCTCATAACTATGTTCCAAAAATACCGCTACCTAAATAGAATAAACTGGGTACATAAATTGTTTATACAGTGCATCAAGACAATACAGCAAGGAACAGTGATACAAACAAACGTCAGCTCCACTGCACTCATATTCTGATATGATGTGCTGAACATGCGTATACCGTGCTCGCATGTGAGGCGGTTTTCAAGATACCGATCGCGTTTACGCTTGATGGTGATGGTAAATCCTTTGGGTCCGAGAAGGGATGGATAGTCCGATTTTGAAACGAGCTGAGGGGGATATTGCTGCAGCTGACTAGTGAAAATGACGTTTCATTTTCGTATCACTGGAGGGGGTTGACAGTCTGCAACGGTAACTCAACTCGAATCGGCATGGAAAGGCTAGGGAAGGATGGCGAAACAAGAATACCATCTTACCGCGTACCACACGTTTGTTATCTGTTAATCAAAAGAAAGCAAACAAACAAACGACGAAACATAAAATACACATATCACCAGCTAAGTTATATCGTAAACACAGATCCATAGCCAATTCTTTGTTTATTAAAAATTTGAATTCGTGGTTTCGCTATGTCGTGGTATCGACCAAATGGTATCGGCTCGCAGCCGTGACTCAAAAATGACGCGACGCGTGACGAAATCGGACGTACCCATTCCCGGGCGGAGCTGTTTTAGCTCGTTCGTGACCTTTAATTAAATATCTTCATTACGCACTATGGTGAGTTTGTACCGTAGTATGCCTGTTGACAGGGACGCTAATTTCAGCTTATCCTATTGGCCACGTTCGAGGTCGTACTTTAGAAGCGGCTAGGCGTCTCGCCTTTCTCATCGCATTGGCTTAATACTATATCATACATCTCTCCCTTTGACGCGTTGAGTCACCGTCACGCCGTACAATGAAATTCGAATACCACGCTGGCTATAACTACGAAAAATTTGCGCTGCTCGGCAATGCTCGAGCTATTTTACTGTTAAATAAATTATTTCCGTCTCTTGGCTATGTATACAGTGATTAGGATGTAGCTTGTCCTAGGTATCGTCGCCGTGCTAGTCTTCCGCTTCTTCTGCTCCTCGACCTTGCTTTGCGCGGGCTCTGGAGGCTGTCGAGCTTGGAGTACATGACAACATGGCTGCCGCTTTATCGGATGCGAGAGCGTCGGGTCCGGAGATGGCTGTCTCTCCATTTTCTTCCTCCCTCGCTCTTCTTCTCTCCCGACGCTCTTGTCTCTCCTTCTTTATCATCTGGGAGATCAGCGTAGCGTACGTAGCGAATGCTGAATCTTCTTCTCCTTCTTAATCTTCTTGTTCTTGTTCTTCTTCTTCTGGTTCCGGGGGATTAGCGTAGCGAATGCAGATCGTTGCATCCTCCACCAATTATTGTAATTCGAAGAACGGTGGCGACAGGATGCGACGCTTGGCACGTCACACCTTGCGCCGGGGATGGGTGACGCGACGCGCCACACCTACGAGCCAAGGTCCGGCCGATAATGACGAAAAACCGGTCGGTTTAAAATGTCGCCGGGCGGTTTTCGGAAACGTATAAATAGGCACGGACGAAAGATCATATAGGAGGTTATTACCCAGAGGAAGAGACGAGAGACGATGTAGTGGAGATAGACGAAGACGAGACACGGGGCCTAGGTTTGGGTGCCTAGGTCGCCGTAGTGTATATATATATTTGTATCGTGTTACTAATAAAGTCAGTCTTCAAGAGCAAATTCTGCGACTACATCATCTTTACTCTTTGCTACAATCTGCTACCATTTGCTAACTCGACGCTGCTACGATGCCGGAGCGGAGATCAACAACTTTACAACTCTACGATTCTACGATGCCGGAGCGGAGAACAACCCTTCTTTCGAATTACAATATATACACACACAACACAACGCACACGCACGCATGCTAGCTTGCATACACGCTGGCACACAACATACAAACGCGCACGTCGCGTAGACGTACACTTGCTATAACAGTTAAAAGCAAAAAAAAAAAACAGACAGAGGGTGCCTCTAATGTGTTTTTTGATGAGAAATGTTGGAATATCTTATATTTCACTACTACTTCCATTTATGTTTTGTATGGGGTGTATTTATGTTTTGTATGAGGTGTATTTATGTTTTGTATGAGGTGTATTTATGTTTTGTATGAGGTGTATTTATGTTTTGTATGAGGTGTATTTATGTTGGATTATTATTTTGCTATTAAATTATTCTTCTATCACATATAAAATAATTATTATGTTAGAGTTGGATTTTAGATTTTAATCAAAAATTAAAGTCGTTCATGTGAAAAATATTTATTTATAAATATATTTTTCATGTAAATGTATAAATGTTATCACACTGTAATTAGCTCGCGGTCGGAAGACTGCAAATTCAGAATTGAAAACGCATCCTCGTAAGAGAGCAGCACAATTCACAGATTTGTCATGGCAATGCTCAATTTAAACAGCTACGATGTCTTAATAACATACATGTCTTATAACGGAGACACGTAACTATATATTACTATATTACTATTAGATTATGCAGTAGGTATATTCTCAAATTCCTGACTAATATTTTCGCATATAGTAGACTCACGTGTATTCTATCCTGTACGTTTCGAAATATCCGTTCTGCTGGGCGGGACTGTCCCAGGTGGCGCTGATTGTCGGATGGCCGTTCCGCGGTGCTTCGCTGACGACCAGATTCTGAACGGGTCCCGGCGCTGGGACGGTTTTTGCAACATGGTAAGTACGATGGTCAACATAATGACAAGATTTATTACCAGTGGAACTAAATCGAGTGATATCAGGTGACGGGATATAACAGAACGTAACGTTAGATGGATCTACTCTACACTAGATAACGGGATATGAAGGAAGGTAGCAGTGTGGTATCTACACTACATGACGGGATATGAAGGAAGGTAGTAGTGTGGTATCTACACT